GTTACCAGCAGAGGTTGCTCAATGTTAGCACCGGGTGGCCAGCCCAAGCTCATTGAGGGTGATAGGAGCAGGGGTGAACAGATGTACCTGTACTCTAGGAGGTTGCAGAGAGTAGATTTCCCCCCTCCCCACACACACACTTAGCATTGTTGAATCCCACTTTTATAGGTATTTCCGGTCTTTGTTCAGCACTTTTGGGGTTTTTCCATGCTCAGTCTTGTTTAGAGGTTGTTTCTCATCCATCTTTTGGTTATCTCAACTTGAAGTCGTGTTGGTCATAAAAGTTGGTATCTCAGCTTTGAAGTGTCCTTGCTGCCCACATGGCAGGATATTCCCCCCTTATTATTTTCTTTGTGCCCCAGGCCTGAGAGGGATTCTTTAGCCATCCATTAATTAGTTTACTGACTGGTAACTTACACATTTGGCGCCTTGTTGCTTATATAAACAGTTAAATCTTTCTCTTTATGCCTCCATGCCATTCTCTCACTAGTCACCCTCAGACACACACGGGACATACAAAGTTCATTTACTCATGTTAAGCAAGGAAATACAAAATGGAGTCTTCGGCTATTCATAAAATACAAAAATAAGGTTAACATAGCCAAAAAGGCCTACTGTCTTACTAACACTTGTCTTCTCGCATTTAAATTAATATCAAATCAGCTCAAATTCATGCTACAGTGGCAGACTCCAGGGCTAGAGACAAAAGTTACACATAAAGCAGTTTAAGGGATTAGAAACTGGTTTAAAGCTGTAATAGAGCAGAAGTTCAGTGCACATAAACCACTTTCAAAATGGCTGAAATTGATTTAAGATAGACTTTGTTGACTGTAGTATCAGGCTTAACTGATTTAGGTTTAACCAGTTTATGAAACTTCTGCCCCAGACTCCATCCTGGTTCAAGTTAAATCAGAAACGTCCAGCATTTTGCAGCCCTGGGCTGTGCTGTCTGCTTTAGAAAGCAGGGTTGGCCCTGCCTCTCAGCTCCCTAGCCCCACCCAGGCAAACCCCTGCTGGGGTCTGGGGCCAGGGAGGGGGGTTAAACTTCTCTTCCCCTAAATACGGATCTGCCCTGCCCTCCTTACTTAGTGCTGGCTGCTAGTGTGCAAAACGAGCTGTATTTGATTTGGATTTGGATTCAGCCCGAATTGGGGAGAGTGATTTCATGAGTTGATTTGGATCACTGTCCCCAGTTCGATTCAGCTGAATCTGAATCTGAAGATTCAATGCTGATTTGGAGAATCAGCGATTCGGCCATAGACACAGCTTTAAATGTTTTTTCTACATACCTCAGGGCACAAGGTGCAGCTCATGAAACCTGCGATACTGGGGTGGATGGAGCATCCCACAGGAATGAACATGCTTGGCGGCCTACCCAGAAGTGGACTGGAACTACTTCTGGTCCACTTCCAGATCCACCAGGAAGCGCATGGGGTCCCCCCTGCACCTGCCTGGCTCAGTGATCGGCTGCAGGGGGACCCTGTGTGCCCCCCCCAGACCCAGGAGTCACCAGTCATTGAGATGGAGGGGGAGTGGGGAGGCCCCCTGTGTGCTCCCTGGCGGACCCGGAAGTGGACCAGAAGTGTTTCTGGTCCACTTCTGGGTCTGCTGCTGAGCATGCTGGGGAGCCCCCACATTCCTGTTGGATGCTCCATCCACCCGAGCATCGCAGAATTCACGAGCCACCTGGTACCTTGAGGTATGCAGAAAAAACATTTAAAGCTGTGTCTGTGTCCAAAACACCAAATCTTTCCAAATCTCTCTGAATTGATTTGGAGGGTTATGATTTGATTCAGAGAGATTAAAGGGTCTCTTGATTTGATTCAGATTTGCAGATTTGGCCACCGAATCTGGCTGAATCTCCACTAAATCGAATCAGGGACTGAAGATTCGCATAGCCCTACTGGCTGCAACTCTGGGCTACAAATCCCAGAGGTACCTGGAAGTAGGAAGAGGGAGTGAGAAGCAACCTTGCAGAGTCCTGCTGCTGTGAGTCTGGACTGAAAATCCCAGAGACCTTGGGGGAAGCAGGAAGAGGAAGTGAACATAGCCAATGCTGGCTGTATGCCAAACCCATGATCTAGCACCCCCTGGCTTGTGGCTTGAGCCACTGCAGGCTTGTGGCTGTATTTCCAGAATCAAAAGTAAGTGCCTATTTACTTGTCAGTTCAATCTATGTAGCTTAGACTAACCTGAGAAGATTGAATCAATTTAGCCTTGGGCTTTCTGACTATCTGTACTTAGCCATAATCAGTTGTTGTGAAAGGATACCACAGAGCAGGGCATGAAGTAGAGTGAGTAATTTGGTACATATCTATCTTGCCTTCTGCCTGACTCTGGACTAACAGGTAACTAACTACCTCTTTCATTATAGGCCCTAAGCTTCATTCTGCTGTATTATAAGGAGGAAAGCAAATGATGCAATAGTTTCATAGTTTCATAGTGCTTAGGGTTGGAAGGGATCTAAACAGATCATCAGGTCCAACCTCTTGCCCCAGGCAGGAATGAGTGTGGGGTCATAACACCCCATCCAAATATCTGTCCAGCCTCCTTTTGAAGACCCCCAATGTAGGAGAGAGCACCACCAATTGCAGTTATGTAGACCAAGCCTAAAACACAGCTACACATCATCATAGGGCCTCTGATAGTTCCTGTGTTAAAGTCTGCATGCAGTTTTGGAGATCAGGGGTAAATGAATAAAATAATCCAAGACCACCCACTCTGGGAATATGCACCCAGGGAAAAGCCATGGTTCTTCCAGCAGAAATCAGCATCAATTTTAACTTCCAATCATACCTTTTTTGTACAGTTTGGTCTAAGGAAGCTTGAAATGAACAAAGGACAGAAGGAAGGTAAGATTGGGCAGCAAAAAAGTGGCACACAAGTAGCATACGTTATGGTCAGTAAATAGAGGGGAATTAGTAACATCCCTCAACTGGGCAGACCAGGCTTCATGTGCCATTATATTACTTCACTGGACTTCCATCAGCCTAAAGCTGGTACTGAATCTGTATCGCATCTATGCTGAAATATGAGTAACGGGAAAAAATCACAAAGAGTCAAACATTTGATACTGGAGATTTGCAGGAACCCCAGGGGTGAAATTATTTAGTTTCAGTTGTTTTTCTTTGGTCATAAACATAGAAACTGTGTGGAGCACCACAGACAGGGATGAAAGTTGTTTACAGTAACATAGGAAACAGATACCTAATAATCTAAAGTCATCCTTGCTGTCACTTTACTGAAGCCAATTATATTACACCATGGTCAAACTCAGAACAAATTTCTTTTGTATATTTTTATGTGGTTTCTATAATACTGACTCTAGCCTTGGAAATTATTTTGTTTAAAACTTCCTATTGTCATTGGCCTTTTTGTTGTTCATCACAAACAAAATATGTTGCAGACAGATGCCAGTTATGCAAGAGTTAGGTCCCAGTTTGAATTCTTGCACATGAAGTATTGGCTCTTTTTTGTGCATTGGTAACTACACTTTACTATGTGTGTCAAAGACCTTGATTTGCCTTTTATAAAGGTTTTTTATAAGTTAAGGCTAATCTCTATAGGCCTAGGAGTTGAAAATACCCCTCGCTCTTCCAGCCCAGAGTCTGGGCTACACTAAGGCTTGTGAAGGTGCTTGGGAGAGAGGCCCTATGATTATCAATTAGGGTATCAGTGCAGGCAATTGCTTCCAGCAGAAATCTGCTTCTTAGCAAAACAAGTACTTGTTTTGCAACAGATTAGCTTGTGTGTTTTGTTTTCATGAGCCAGTACTTTTCTCTGTGGATGCCGTCTTGTGCTCTAGAATCTAAGGTTTCATTTGAAACAATATATTAAGTGGCTAACCCTTATGAAGAAAACCTTCAAAGACATCTTTTTGACTCTGTGGGCAACCTGTACTCTGCATCTTTCTTAAATAAAGGGATAACACTGAAAAATATTGACAATGATTTGAACATTAACTGTGGGAACTTTCACTGGTAAAACAGGCATAAGAAGAAGGGGTAATTACATTATGAAGATCAGCATAATATGCTGTGAGAACCACTGCATTTTCCTGTTGGGGTTGCGGGCAGACTTTTGGGACAGTATGATCTGTTTTCCTAAACTACTTGCCCTACAAACATTTGGATCAGATAACCTCAAAGCATTCTATGAATCTGTGCGGCAGCTTTTGACCAACACAGTAATTTTACATTTCAAAACCACATTTAAAAAAAAAGCTTTGCTTTGTGTTACGTTTAAGCATCCCTCTGAAACAGAGCTATATATCAGACTCATTTTTCTCGGAGACCTATAATCTTGCTGAAAATTAAATAGGGTCATCCTACCCCTGAAGAAAAATACTGGTCATTGTTTGTGTGTTAAACAATTAGACCTTCACATGTGTCCAGTTCTGAATAAACTTTCTTGGGTTTTATCTAGCTAATGATCTCTGAACAGATCCTTCATCTGTATTAATGAAAAAGCAATGGGCAGAAACATGTCCTAGTGACTTTTGTGTGGATTTTTCTCCTTCATACGATCCATGTAGTTAACTATTTTTGGTACAGACATAGCAACAATTCATGTGTTTCCCCCTGAAGTAGTAAAATATGCAGCTCTTAATTATTTTTTTGAACTGCATGTGTTATATTTATGACCAAACCTTTCTTTTTTAACCTTACACCTCTGAGTAGCCCAATTGCATTCACTTACTTACATAGTAAAAAGAGAGAATCATGACTGTAAACTTTTAGAGGTAGTTACAAACACTCCAACTCTGTCCAGTGCAGTCCCAAGTCACTGCTGATGCTAGGGAAATGGTTGATATTAATGTGCATATAAATAATGTAGTTGAATAATAAACAAGTGCAGGCTGATATGATTGAACAAGTGCTTGCTTGTTTTCTTATCAGTGAATGGACTAAAAAAGGCCTGGGAACTCAGCAGCAAGCTGGATCCTAGTTGTGCTATAAATAAACTGGTGCACATGAATATTACACAATGAAATGGCAACATTTATCATACAATAATTCACAGCTGTTAAAATATCCCATAAATCAGACATCAGTCCTTGTTTCACTGTCCTTTGAAAAAAATGACCTCTGTCTACTGAGCTTTCTTTTACTACAAGAATAGCAAGTGGTAAGACCCTGAACTCCTGTCTTTTCAAACAATTGAATGCATATAGCAGAAAACTGGCATCAGCAAGCAAAGCAGCTGCATACATTCCAAATATTGCTCTATTTAAAGCATCCCTTAAGCTCACAGCAACAACTACAGAAGCAAACCTTTAAACTTGTCCATAAATTCAGCAGGGAAGGAATGGCAGAGCCAGGTAAGAAGCACCACTAGATATTATTGTAGAATGATGTATATTTACAAAGTATAACAATATAGCCTAAAGATATTTTGTTAATCCTAAAATACTAATTTCTGTCCAAAGCACAGCATATTTCCCTTCTCAATAAAAGGCACTGCCAGCTTGAAAATTAGTTCAGCTAGAGAAATAAAGCAGATTTGGGTTTCTATCCTGCTTCTGAATATTTTTTTTTACCTGTTTTTGCAATTTTGATAATCATATTTCTCTCTCTGTGTTTCTCTTATTTATTTTCTTCTCAGCATGAAAGAATGGAAAGCTTACTGGCTCTACAGGTTGAAGCTGAAAAGGACTATATAGCAAGTGTATCACAGATGCAATGTAGTAAACACATAAAAAAGAAAACATTTTTCTTTTGGTCTTTTTTAGCTATTCACATTTTTTTTTGTTTTTTAATAACCTGTCATAGCAAGCTACTTAACTAGATGTGTGCTTCTTTATGTTAATTGGATCCCTGTCACACAATTAGACTGGTATGATCATGCTGAGTAATGTATTTGATATACAAATACATTCCCTAATCTTAGGCTGTAGTCACAAAGGCAGAGTAAAACTCTTTTTGTGTCTGATATGATCTACAGTACAGCAGTGTAGATTCAGTGGCAGAGAACAGAGAAATCATGAATGAATTTTTCACTGATTACCTTTAAGAAACAAAATGGGAAAAGTGCATTTTTTGTGCACAGTTGCTTGTATTTTACACCATTTTCAAGAGCTTTGCCTGAAAAGTAGAAAGTTAACTATGGATCTAGAGTTTGGTTGGCACATATAGTTACTAAGGTTATTTTTTTACTCATAAATAACAAAGTTTAATAATATGCTGTTTATGTTATAAAAATATATGATATAAATATATCCAGTAAAAACTAGTAAAAGTATTTTTTGCTATTACTATAGTTATCGAGCACAGAGAAAACTGCTAATCTTGAATACATCTGCATGGTGAATGACACTTTTTATTTCCATCCATTATGAACAATTAGTAATAATGATTTGTCATTTTGCTCCAGAGATCAAAATACTTTGCATTGGTAGGAAATTAATATTCATAGCTCCATTTTGCAATAAAGAAGTGAAGGAAAAAGTGATTTAGTTAAGGTTTCCTGCAAGATACTGGTGGAGCCTGGAATTTTCCCAGTTCCAAATTTTCAACATGATACCCTTTCATCTAGACCTTGCTGCTTTCTTTCCAGCAAGGATAGAGGTATGTCTTTTCCCAAAGTCCTGAGTCCTGCACTACAAGCTGAATAGGATTTCTTCAATAAGGGCCTTCACTCCTTAATTATTGAGGGTTGCAGACAATAAATTGGGAGGCAACTTTGCTTACATGAAAAAGTGAGGAATGTAATGATTTTAAAATGTGAAGGTGGCTGATACAATCAGTCCCAGAGTTCCTGCTATATCAAGTTTGTTGGTAAAATTATTTGTCACTAATGCACAGAGTATCTTCAATAACATTGTCCATGAGACTTAGCATCTGGGTAGTAGACAGCTTGAGCTTGTGACATCTAGGCGTGTATGGGAGATGGTTTATCATCATCACTGGTAGCATAAGCTGGGTGGGGGCAACTGGGGTGCCAATCCCAGGTGCAGATCTAGAGGTGGCACCAGAATGGCTGCCACCACAGAGCCTGTGCTGCTGCTACAGCCCATATTGTGGGAGCTTGTGCCAAAGCAGCAGCAGCCCCTGATGCTGCCCTAGCTGCCAAAATATAAAGTTATGCTTCTCAGCCACACCACCACCAACAGAGCCTTTTAAGCAGATTTATGTTATCATCATTCTAAGTATGCATGACTACACGGTGATAAACTGTTTAATCATTTTATTGACACCATGCAATCTTGATGCCTCAACCAAGCAGTCAGTTCAGTCTGAGCTAACTGTCAGCAGATGGATTATTTTGTTTCTGCTGATCACTTTCTAGAGGGAGCATTTCTTTTTCTTAGAATAATACTTTTCCACCAACCAGATATCTATCTTTAATTGTTGTGACCTTCTGCTTTAATCAGAAATTCTTTGTCTACCGTACTATTTCCTTGTAAGAATGGCATTCCCTTATGGCTCTTTGATGATTTCTTCCCAAGAAATTTAAATTCAAATTGATAAAAAACCCAAGTCCCCTCCCCCCCCACCAAACAAATAAAATAAATCCCATATATTACAAGAGTAGCAAAACAAATCTAGGATATATAATAATAAGTACATGCATCTTCTGGGTAGGGGAAGGACAGGCCGATTATAGTTCCTGAGTTATGTACATGTTCTTAGCCTCTCACAGTATTGTCCCAGAACACATACAGTAGTTTCTTTTTCAGAATTCTTTTGGAATAAACCTGCCGAGGCCTGTCATCCCAAGGAAGTGCTAGGTTTTAGAAGCATTTATGCCTTTCCTGTATGGGTTATAGTATGGCAGACGATTACAAGAAGGCACAAAAAGGGGCAACACCAAGAGACTGGGGCACAATGATTGCTCCCTTATTGCACTCTGTAGGTACACAGCACCCCAGAGCAGCCATGGACAGGATAGGGTATGGCTTCTTTTACTCTGACCCAGGCCAAAAAGCCAGCTGACTACCCAGGGAAAAGTAGGGCATCAAACACACTCCTCTGTATGGGGTCTCATATTCCAACCACAGGCTACCCATGAAGTAGTGAAATATCCAGACTAGTGGCCAGAGAGTAGTTTAGTTATTTGGGTGGATGTACACCCATACACACACCCTTCACAGCATAGAATATGAAACGATCTGTCGCCTTAAATGAAATATGGAGAGTCTGCTTGAGGTATTTAGTGAAGGGAACATAAGAGACAGAACAACAACCCTGGGCAACAGGAAAATTGGTCTCTGCCCCTGCCATGCCTGTTGACGTTGGTCTAAAGTAAAATGGAGCCTTTTTGTGATTGCCTTACTAACCCGCATAAACCCAGTTCAGACTCAGGCATCTCACGGGTACTGGGAATTCTCTGAGACCCTAGTCATAATCCTATGTCAGTGGGAGTTTTAACTGAACCTGTATAAAACTCTGGATTAAAGGAGGAATCTGAGTGAGTGATCAGCTGTCTAAAGCAGGAGTTGGCAGCATGTGGCCCACAGGCCAGATCAGGCCCACAGCCATTGGATCAGGATCACAGAGCCAGAGGACTCTGCTTGTGCCCACACTGGGGCTGGGTAGATTTCAGCTGCACCCATGCTGCTCTCACTTCTACCTGCCCTCCTGGCTTCAGTCTGAAATGGGCTGCATGGTTTCAGCATTGAGTTAGTAGCAGAGGGCTTTCCCTGTACCCATGCTGCTGGCACTTTCTCCCAGCCTCCTCTACCAAGCTGGGGCATGAGAGTAGCTTCCCGTCAGTAGGAAGCTGCACTGGGGCTGGGTAGCTTCAAGCTGTGCCTGTGCTACAGGGGGATCAGGAAGAAGCAGCAGCAGTGTGGACACAATTTGCAGATACCTGGTGTGGCTCCCTGCTGGCTGGAAGTTGTGACTGCACTGCAACTGGGGAGCAAGGGACTGGGGAAAGTGGTGGAGGCACAGCTGCCAGCTGCTTGCTCCCGGGAAAGCACTTCTGCTACTAATGTTCCCCAAACCCACCTGGCCTGTATTGGACCACAGCTGTCTTGTTCTGGCCCATGACATGTAAAAAAGGTTGCTGACCCCTGGCCTAGATTATACATTTCAGATTTCTCAGTGATCCTTGTAGCCTGTAGACCCTTACTCCTTCAGATACTTTGTACTTGAGGGATCCTTGGCTTCCCCAGAATGACTTTTAGGAAGGAACACTGCAGGACTGGGCTCTTCCAAGCTGCTGAACTATAGAGATCAAAGCACATAGTGTTTACCCATCATGTGCACAGAAGAGCTTCCATGTAGTGAGAAAAACAATGCATGGGGTCCTCCCTCTCTTCCCACCTCAGAATGCATTGAGGAAGAGGAAAAACAAGTGCAATGGGGCAAAGACAAAACATTACCAGGGTGCGGATGCTGACTGGCTCATGGGGGACATGGCAAAATTTTGAGTTGCTCCTGCTGTCCACCACATTCTTGATCCAAAGTCTCCTGAAGTCTACAGAAATGTTTCCGTTGGCTTTGGAGCTTGGATCGCTTCCAGGGGAATGCTGATTGCTGCACCTAGGTTGTTCTTCTGCTTGTTTGTCCCCTTCCCTTGTGGAGCTGGGGGAAGCTAGGATTGCTTCAGCATGCTCATAGCACTGGAAGGTCTGCCTCGAAACAGCTATTTATAATCAAATACCATGTTTGGAGGCTTCAGTCACTCGCACTAAGGGCAGAGAGAAATGTTTACCTCCAATACACAGCTGCCAAAAATATACAGTTTTTTTCCCCCTCCCCTGCCACTTTCCTTTAAAGCTTTAGTAATTGGCCATGGTGGAGAAACAGGACACTTAATATGGTGGCCCAGAGAATCCCCTTTCTGGATGCCTAACTGGAGTCTTACTCATGGGCACAAGGTCATACTGAAGTTTAAGATTTGGAGATTTGGGGTCAGGATGGAATTTTCCCCCAAGTCAAATTGGCAAAGACTTTTAAGGTTTTTTTTACATTGCTCTCTGCAGAGAGTTTGTCTGTTAGGATATATATAACTATAGAGTGTGTCTCAAAGTCTGTCCATTGGTTCAGAAAATATTTGGCATAATCATATGTTATTTATGCTGGGGCCCTTAGCATTGGTGACAGCTTAGTCTCTCCTGTTCTCTCTGCTTATGCTGTCCAGTTTCATCTCCTGGTGACTGCAATGCTCAAGTGTTATAACAATAAGTGTATGCGTTCAAAACTTAATGGCTTCTGGTATGCAAGAGGTCAGACAGAGGATCTAATGGTCTCTTCTGGCCTTAACTTCTATGAAACTATGAAACACATACTTCCAATGATTCCTGTGAAACATTACTCCTCGCAGCCAGCTGCTTTGTGCTTCATGACAAATGACCGGCACAGAGTTGTTTCTGATCAACCAGCTCACAAAGTCTGCTGCTATTATCTTACTTACTTCATCTAATTTGGACTTCTAGCAACAAAGCACCATGCTCTGCAGCCCCACTGGCAAGTCACCAATGTGCTCTGTTAAAACTCTCATTTGTGCCTCTGCAGACTCTAGCCCTTCATTTGTAATACGCCCTTTAAGAAATATGGTAGGCAAAGAGAAATCATTCCCTGAAGTGTCTCCCCCTTAAAAAGAATCAAATGTGACACAGTATCTATGAAGGAAAACATGGTTTTTGAATTTCCCTGTGGGACGGTGTAATCAGAATCCTGTAGCTAAATTGTATATTTGGTCTATGTGGTTATTTATATATATTTGTCATTCTGTTCTGTATTTTAGATAAAGGTGTAATAGTTTTTGAGCCTTGATTTCTCTCTCTCTCTCTCTCACTTTCTCTCTGTTATGTAGCTTTAATAATATAGTGGAAGAAAAACCAAAATACAGAGTATGTCTCAAAGGCTGTCAGTTTTTGATTCATAAAATGTTTGGCATGGCCATATGTTATTAATTAACCCATCAAAGGTTTCCAATGTTTTTCATTGGCAAAGAAAGTTTCTCTGGTGAAAGAGAATTAACATGATCTCATCCTAAGCTCAGAGTACTGCTGCTGATGTCATACTTTCTTAGCAAGCTCCTGCAGTACATGCTTGCAGTTTACTGGACTCAGTTGGAAAATATTTATTGAAATTCTGATGAACAGAAACAGATATTCACATTTTTTTCTTTTTTCTAATCCTATGTTGCTTTATGAAAATCTTCGTGTAGAAGCATCATCGTAGATAGAAATTAAAAATCTCTTAGGCTTGCAATTAACTTGTCCATGTACTAGCAGCTAGCACAGAAAAGCCGTCACATTGTTTTGGATCAGATTGGACCAGAGCAGCCAAACTGATGGCATATTCCTGTCAATTGAATGGCAAGAAATTGTGTGCCGCATCACACACACAATTTCCCCAGGTATCCTGTATGCTATCTCTTGTTTTATTTGGAAACTGAGACCTGTAAGTAAGATCACATTAATGGGTAGCCACCACAGCCCTCACCACAGTATATTGCCTTCACATTTGGCTAAAAGATGGTTCAGTGTCCATGTGCACACTGGACTCCAGGAAGCTCAGGGAAGGGTAGTGAGTCCTTGAGGGTAATACCATGGTGAACCATCTTTTGGTGATGTGACCTCATACCATGCAGTGCCTGAGTGGCCAGACTAGCCTACAGTATGAGCATACACTGAGGATATGTTCTTGACATCCTGCTTGGAGCCTTTGGGCACAAATGTGATGCTGAAGAACCGTCATATTTTTAGTTTAGTGGTGCCAACCCAATAGGAATGCCAGAAGGTGTGTATGCAGGAGGGGGATTGTCTCTTCTGGGAGAGCTTGTGCGAGTAAAGCTCTTATAGCCCATGCTGATAAAAGGGAGGACCATAGTTCTGTACCCTCTCCTTCAGCTATCCTTATACCTGCTGGACAATAGAAACTAAAGTTCTGTCTCTGCTTTTGCTATGCACCTTTGTAGTTAGGCCAGCCAAGATATGGTGAATCTAATGGTTGTACATTAATGGTTGTACACTGTTTTCTCTTGATAGTAGTGACAGCAGTAATGGTGATGATGATAATACTAATGCTAGCTTGGTGTCTCAGAACTCTGTTGTTTGTTTTAAGATAATGATAGTTTTTCATGTTTAACTTCATGGATTTTAGAATTAGTATAATGTGCCCTTACTATGCCCTTCTCTGAATAAAAATCTATATTCTCTCTCTTCAGCAGAAAATCAATACTCACGTTTTGTTATACCTGCACTTCTTGTGGTTGGCTGGATAATTGGTTGTGCATTAATGGTGTACATTGTCTTCTCTTGATTAGAAGTAAGTGATTTGTACGCTGTATGTACACATATACAGTTAACACTTACTGAAGTTTGCATTGCTACCTTTTAACTAACAGATTTTTTTTGTCCCACAGGAAAGAAAATTTTGCAATGATGTCGATTAGAAGAACCCAGAAGTTTAAATGGAAATCTTTAGTCGTTAAACTATGTGCTGTACACGTATTTTAATATCACAATGTAGGATTGAATATGGACTTTGTCCAATGTAAATGAGTGATGCTCATTAGAGATGAGAAGACTCATCCTGCCATTTTTCTAATCTTTATGTACTTCGGGAGTCTGATCATAGGTCCACCTATCCTCCAAACTACAAATTGCTGTCATCTTCAATTGTCAGCATTTTGTAAACAGAATCTTTATTTTTGATTATAAACACACAGTTCCAGCTGGAACTGGAGATCTGCAAATAAACCTATATATTGTGATATATGGTAAAGCAAATTACATGGGATGTAAGCTATCCCTAGCAAATAGATTGGTCATTGTTAATTTTTTGTTATTAAAAAACAGGAATCAAATTATAATGGAAATAGCTCCTTAAACTCTGATACATAGGTTCTAAATAAATTTTCCAAAACAAAATCTTATTTTGTTTTTTTTAAATCTTATCATCCAAAATAGTAAAAATCCATATATTGAAAGGACCAGATACCAAAAAATCCACCGGTCCACTGGAAGATAAAAGATAGAAAGAAAAATCTGCTATATTGATATGCTAAGCATTCTATATGTGGCTTGCTAGTGTAAATATGACTTGGTTCTTATAAAATTAAAAAACTTAAGTTATTCTTCACTGATAGATGTCAAAATAACCATTGACCATTTGACTCAGAAGACTAGTTCTAGGGCCCTGTTTTACTTCTCACTCATTATCAAGTTAATTCACTTATGCCACTTATTAAAATAAATGGGACCTGACTCAAATGGGAGTTAGACTAGGTCTTAATATAAGCAGTTCCACTAAAAACAATAAAACTATATGCACAAGGAGAGAAGAAAATGACCTTTCATAGCAGGTAATCACTCTCATCCTAGGGCCTATTTATGTATGTTACTAAACCATCACCAATTTTAGCTCAGGCATTGCGATGATGAGAACCTGTGTATTGAATAGCAGAGTAGTTGCAGGCTGGGAGTGAGGCATAGCTATGAGGGAAAGCATACACAGTAGATGCACTAGTTGCATTAATCACAGATCTTTATCATCACTAAAAATGCATGGCACTAATGCATTAAAGAATGCATTACAACTTTATGTAACAAGTTATTGGTGTCCATCTACTAATTATAGCCACCACTCTGAGGGATCAAGTGCTTTCGGTACTTCAGTTTGATACTTTGTTAGCATCTTGTGGGTGGTGCCCAAGCCACTAAAGGGAGGAAGTAGCATGAGTCTGCATTTCAAGTCACTACTTACTTGGTAGTGTTCAACAGGGAGGATCTATAAAGATGTGTTGGTACTCCCTACCCATGTGTACCAACACAGTGACATCATCAAGCTTGCATGCAGCTGTGGAAGCTATCTCATATTCACTAGATAGGAAGAGGGAAGTGTCAGGCGATAAAGTGCTTCTGAATATGCTAGAAAGTGGTAGGTGAGGAAAGCTGTTGTGTTATTTCACTGAACATTGTTTTGAAGAGGACTCTAGCGGTAAGAAGGGGCTTTGTAACATCACCTTGTCCCCACTCTACTTTACAAGATTTTTGATGATGCTCCAATTTTCCACCTGATGTAAAGGAATTCTTAGTGTAGCTACATTTCCCTCTCCCCTGACATCGCAGGGGAGAGGTGTTGTAAAGCTTTCCCATGAACACCTCCTCTCATCTTTCCGAGAAAGGCCTGATAGTCACTCAAGCTTGGAAGCTGAATTCCTCAAAACACCTTCTGGAGACATTTGTTTACCGGAAGCATAAGTTTCTATAAAAATCAAGGAACAATTGGATCCATCTAGATGCCAGCCTTCTCTGAACATACAGCAGTCAAATAGCCAATGGTGTCTGCTTAACACGGGATAAAAACAGACTTTCAATTTCAAATATGTGTAGGGGGGTAGAACAGGGTTGCCAGCTCTGTTTGAATCTACTCCAGAAGGTTTCTGGAATGCCAACATGCCCACTACACACAATGCCAACATGCCCGTGTGCTTGCATATATTAGTTACAGATTACAGTGCATAGACTTTGCATCAGGAAGGCAAATGCACACTACTATTGCATTTTAAAAGCCCACTGGGCTGTTGTATAGATCAGATTCAACATGTAATATTTATTTTAATGAATGCCCTATCATTTATCTCCCAGGTGACTCTCAGCAGTCTCCTGGAGATTTATATCTAACTCCTGGAGGCTCCAGGGCAATCATGAAGGGTTGGCACCCTAGGGCAGAAAGGGCACACATTGTAAGGAGCAAGACCCAGAATGGCAGTAAGAATCTTACCCTGGGGCAACAGAGATGCATGGAGGAAGGCATGATGATAGAGTCCTGGGGATCAATCATGCCCAAAGTGTGGGGTGGAAATATCAGGTGTGTCTAAACACCTAGGGAGCAAATTTCTATTTATTTTATTTGGAGTAGCTACATTTGGGTTCCATGCTGATTTTAGCTGATTTTTTACTCATGGCAAGTGCTTATTTTAGGCAAGACCCCTCTGAAGTCAGTAGTTACTTTTGTTTCTAAGAGCAGCTAGATTGTCTCAGTGGCTCCTGGCTAAATAACAATATTGTAGTGGGCCCTTAATTTAGTCCACAAAGTTTTGAAGAACTAGAGAAATTCATACTCATAGATGTTACTTGTCACCAACTTTCAATACCAGGTTTTCTTTTAAAACATTGCTTCTGGTTTGATTGCCAATGCACTGGAAACCCTACTGTAGGAACACCTCCACAGTACAATGGTGCTTTTTGATGGTTAAGAATTGTGCCCTGCTGTTACCCAAGTGCTTTGGGACATAAATTACCATCATCCTCAAAATATCAGTTTGTAATCCTGTCTGCTTACAAGCCCATGGATAAGCCTTCCATGACAGCAGTGCATACTTTGCTTGAAAGGTTTGCTTGGCCTCAGATGCCATTGGCACAGCAGATGATGTAACACAGGTAACTCAACCTGTGACTTTCTGAATATTTCCAACAGTTAGAAATGGCTTTGGCTTCTTTTTAGCATAGCTTCTACTTATTTCACCTATGCACTCATTTACTGGGATTTCCAAGGGCAAACCAAGATCAGATGTATAATACAAGAAGTACTCACAATAAGAGACCAGCTGACATTCAACTTGCTGTCTCAATGTAATGCTGTTGTCCATATCAGTTGGGTTGAAACAGTTGCTTGGAGTGGATTTTAGGGTTAGTTTGATAACATCAAAATAGAGTTAGATGTTAGCATATTTGTCTGACTTACTTTTCTTAAAGGAACCCCTGTGAGGTAAATAGAATTGGCAAATTCATAGTTTTGTTTTAAAGATGTTATTCTGGCCTTGTGCCTGATTTTAGATCCCACTGTGTTTCCATGGATGTTTTTCTAACCAAATAAAACCTCAAAGGTAAGTTCCTCTTTGCCCATTGACTAATGAAGGCACAAAATAGAATTTACAGTGATTTTTAATCAGAGCCGAACCAAGCTAATTTGGTCCGTCTCCCTCCTCTTTTCCCCCTCCCCAATGAAAAACATATAGTTTCATGACCACAGTCTTCTCTATGATCTTTTCCTCCTGTACACTTAACCATGCTCAGAACTCTAATAAAATGTAAGTGGTGGAAATTCAGATTCTCATTAGAAAGGCAGAATAGTTACTGCTTTGTGTTTGTGTATGCGTGTGCGTGTGTGTGCATGTGCACAAGTGTGTGTGTGTGTG